CCAGCTCTTAATGAGCTTTTTCCAGTCAGTCCCTGCATTACATTGCTTAGGCCATTGATGTGTGCAGGGTATGGGATACATGTGAGAATGTATATGTTGGAGAGAGAGTTGATGAAAGCACTCCGAAATCCCTTTGCGGCATATTACCCATCCAAACGTTTCAGAGCCAGTGGGTCTGAATACAAAGCATATAACCAAGCCGCCAGAGCAGCTATTGCCGCGAATTCGTCTCCCAAACAGCAAGCCAACCGTACCACGGGAAAAGCACCCTTGCAGGAACAAGAGGACGGTGAACTGCGATTCCATAAATATCATCCAGAAGAATGCAAAACATCTGGGGACGTAGCTTTGACCGGGGTGGTGACCCTTCGGCTATCTGAAGATCTCACCGCAGGGCTCATTTCAGCGTGTAGGGAAAGAAAGATGACGATGAATGGATTAATTACAACAGCGGCAGCAGTTGCGCTGTCCCGGATGCTTTGGCGTAGGCAGCAAGTAATGCAACAACACTGCCTCCTTGCCGAGCTCTCGCGCGTTGCTGCAGCTACCAATGCAGCCCAGTGCTGGCAACCTCACCAGCAGTCGCTGTGGTCCTCAGCAGCTGTGCAGCGAAACAGCATGTACTTTCCAAGTGCAACCGACACCGGGACACCTTTCGCGGGAACTGCTGCCGATGGTAGCAAAGAGGGCGGCGTGCCTTCTGTGCTGGAATCTTCCCCAGCTAGCTCAGAGCTAGACTCAGGAAAGGCAGCAACCGCTGTTGGGGGGCAATCTCCGACTAGCTGTGACACCTGCTCAAGCATTCACAGCAAGGGACCAGTTGTTAGCCATCAAAACTCTTTGACCCCTCTCGAAAGCCCAAGTACGCCTGTAATTTCCAGTGGAAGCTTGGATCGGCTTCCCTCAGTCCAAGACTTACTGCAAACGCCTGTATCAGGGTCTTGCCATAGCAGTAAAGAACAGACTCGCACAACACTTCAGCGTTCAGCTGCAAGTGGCAAAAGTGCCGTCAATCTGCGTAGTGGCTGGTCCTTATCCCATGTAAAGGAGATGCTGCAGCAGCTTACCTTGCGCTCCCCTGTTTCTGGAGAGGGTCTTCCTGGCGAATCTAACAGGCAGTTCATTAGACACAAGGGCCCAGTATACATCTACAGTCTCCAGGCAATTAGTGGCCGCCGTTGGCTCGACAACTGGCTGCAGGAGCGGAAGCGGCAACCACAAAGGCCAGCGAGGGGCCGCAAACGAATCCCTGGGGATGATAAGCAATTCGAAGAGTTCCTGCTGCAGTACCTTGCCGTCAGCATGAGAAGCCACAGGTGTTCAAGAGCTCTTGCTGCTATAGCGGCAGCTTCAGTTGCACTTGGTGCATCTACGGGCCCTCCATCCCCCTCCTTGCACTTGCTGTCCCCACGACAACCATCAAACCTTTCCGGAAGTAGAACCGGAAGCAGCAGCAGGAGCACCAGCAGCAGCGGGAGCAGGTGCGTCACGCAGCGAAGACAGCAAGGACACTCAAATGAGTTTGGTTCTGATCGCCGGCCTGGGAGCGAAGCATTTTCCAACGAGGCAGAGGAGAAGAGGTGCGATGGCTCTGCGAGTGCCGCGAGCAGTGCACTGACTGTGAACACTGCTGGAATGCTGCAGAGGCACAGGAAAGCTTGTGCTACGGAAAAAGTAGCAGAGTCCCCCTGCACCTCCAAGAGCAGTGTCTTTAACAAAGCTGTCGAGGGCTTTGTGGAAACAACGGGACGTAGCTCGCTTTCTACATCTAGCAGTTTGCACACAGTAAGTGCAGCGTCTTTGGACGACACTGTAGTCAGGTCATCCATTCACAGCTCAGCAAAAAGTAACAGCAGGGCAAGCTGTTCCAGGCGATTACACGCTCACAGACGCAGCGTTGCCAGTCGCATCACGAGAGGGCTTCGGCTGATAACTCAATGGATCTGGGGATCTTCGAAACGCTGCACCACTGAAGAAGGCAATGACGATCAGCCTGAGCAAACCAAGGCCCCGCCATATGGATTGGGATCCTACGCCTTTTTGATGCCACTGAAGCTCCGAGTGCCAGCCGAGTGCAATGGAGGAGCAGATGCCGTGTGGGCACTCGGTAAGGCATGTACGGAAGCCGTGCACAGAATTGTATCATTGCCTAGTTCTTCTTTTGCTTTTTTCAACTTCCAGCTCATTTCTTCCTTTGTCGAAGAAGTTCGCGGGGAGCTAGAGTGCTTGCAGCCATTCAGGAACGACGCCTTCGCCAGGCCATCGGCATTTCTCATCTCTAATGGAGGAGTTTGGGCGGCCAACTCCCTGAACAGATTTTCTGCCAAAATTCATGCACAGCTTCGTGAGGCTCCGGAACGGCATCTCAGGCTTCTGCACCGTGTAATTCAACATCAGATGGCCTTGCAGCAGCGGCATTCAAAAAAGCCTATATTGCCGCCTTTACCTGCGCAGCATTCATGCGGAGTAGGAGCAGCAGACGCAGCACTTAAAAGCAAGCGTCAACACGGAGGCCGAAGAACGGCATTAAATAGCAAGTGCTCTGGTAGAGCTAATGATCAAATGACGGTATCTCCAGTGCTCGCAGCAACAGCTCTCTACGTAAGCGGCACTCACGTTGCCGCGGCAGACGGAAAGCTATCTTCTCACGTTATGTTTCCCAGTGGCCAAATGCCCGACGTGCAGCATCAGCAGCCGGTGGAAAAAGAAACTGCGAGCGGCCTGGAGTGCTTGGCGGGTGGTTTGGAAGAGCTGATGGCCTCGCTAGAGCCTTTCGACATATCTGTAGACAGCAGCTGGTCAATCGTCTCGCAGCACAATACTGGGCTCAACTACTTTGCGCATAACTGCGTGACAGTGAATGGAAAGATGAATTGGTCTCTTCAGTACCATTCTAATCTCACCTCTCGAGAGATAGCGGCACTTTATGCCTCCAACATTCTGGAAGTTCTGCAGGAGGCGCATGAACTGCATGTCCAAGAAAAGGTGAAACAGCGGGGTCAGCAGCACTCGCAGGAAAATGAGTCCCCTAGTGCCTCCACACAACCTGGAGAGACCGGGACGTTTTAGAAGAGACATGACGAAAATGTTGGGTCCTCGCGGGAGCAAACTTTTTCCAATATATTTTTTTGGCTTCACCGGGGCCGTAACACAGGGTCTCCTTCCCTTGCTTGTATATGCTGCACAAGCCGTGTGCCGCAGGCATGCGTAACACATTCGAGAGCTTAGTAAAGGAAAGATGCTTCCGAAGAGCATGCCAATATCTGTAGGCATAGTGGCTTTGACTCAGAAAGCAGCAGCTTCGCCGATTTTTTTGACCACGACTGTCTGCGGGACTCATATTCTCTTGCGCTTCATCGAGTAGCTGGTTTGTAGTAATGAAGAAGTCTTTTTAGGTTTACATCATGACCTTAGGCCTCCAAATAATCCTGGAACTATAGGTCATTGCAGAAAGTCGTGAAACGCCCAAAAGTGCACGGTTTTCCCCTTATAGCAACCAGGCAGCATCTGGCTGCTGCCTACCGGGAACTTTGGCAGTGCCTCTTGTGGTGCCTGGCATGAAGAGAGCTTCGGAATACCAGCTTTCACACCACCATGAATGATTTTTTCGATGCATAGTCGGCCTAGGGTAATATCGTTGCGGCGTTCAGATAAGGGATAGGGTGCACAAATGATCAAATCTGCTCAGTCCCCGTATGTGGGCTGGGAAAAACTACACATGCACTTTGGGACAGAAATTTGCAAAAGCAGCCGGCATTGTAAGGTTCTCATGTTCCAGAACACGTTCGTGACTATTGCGTACTCGGAGATGTGTCAGATTTCAGACAAACACACACAGCGATGTCTATCTCCACTCAAGCGCGAGCACTTGACAGACTTCGATTAAGAGTTACCGCCCCACGAATAGTACACTCTGGAGCTGCAATCCAGTGGAAAGATGGCTAAGCTGTGGGAACACAGAAATGGATTGAATAAATTCTGGGAGGAAAATAATTTTTTTAATGAAGAGCAACTTTTTGGAGCCAAGCCTGCTGGGTCACTCTGGGTGTTCATTCTTGCCGACAAGCAAGCAATGTTTGGCTTTCCACGGAAGAATGGTCTCGTGCATGCTCAAGTCAATACATGAATGCATATTTCATAGCATATCTAGGCCTAGTGTACTGAATTTCATGAAACAGTCCACCAGTTCTAGGCCTTTCGCCCCACAGTGGCGGCCCAGTCAGTGCGTGTTCGGCTTCGCAACAGTCTACGCCTAGAGGGCATTATTTGAGCTGTCTTTGCGGCACTATTTCATAAAACAGTAGCAATTAAAATGCTTTATGAAGCAGAGACCTGGCATATTTTTCAGGTGAAAGCTACCATTCGTCTTCGTCTGTTCCCTCCCAGTTAGACTGTATCCCCTCTATCGTGGCTTCTGCAGCCCACAAAGAAGAACATTACATCAAATTTCTCCCGCTGAAATTCTACACTATATTCTTTTTGTATTATTTGGACACCTGAGGCATGCTAATTTGGAAACGGAAAGCCCCCCTTTACCGTGCTCGGGTGTAGCAGCATACTCTGGACCAATGGTAAGGAGTCCACTAGCGCGTGACCCATATGTCGTTCTGGCCCAACGATTTTCTCACCACTCGGTCTTCAAACGAGGGGAAAAAATTTGTCGAGCCAGCCCAGCATGAGAGTAGCCAGACATGCATCTACTGCAGCCGTGGTGGTTGCATGCCTGTTTCGCTGGCCTGTTTTGGCCAAGCCTGACCCGAAAAGCAGACCCGCAGGCAACGCTCCTAGAAATTGCCCAGAGCCATATGTGATGGATCCAACAGGCGTGAGCATATCCCCACCGCGGGCAAATGGCTTTAAGCTTTGCCACGTGTTGTTAAAACCAAGAGAAGTAGAGAATGTAGCGCCCCCCATAAACTTCCACTATGTAGAAATGCTTGTAGGTATTTGCTCACTGTGTTTTTTCAATCGGAGCGCCTTTACTGCAGGTAAGGTGCACCATGACTCACGCAATGCCGCCGTTGAAGGTATGCCCTAATGGAGTGCTGCGGGACGAAGAGTGCTTGATGTTTGCCCCACCTGACTGCACTACGTGCCCAGGAGGCTTTACAGAGTATATTGTCGACGGCATCAAGGAGTGCGTTGCGACGAGAGTGGCTCGCATGAAACTGGCTTGCTGGGGACCCCATGAGAGGATGGAAGGAGATGTCTGTATCGAGGTAGGGGGAATGTGTGCGCCCAAGGCATCCAATTTGGGTGTTTCAATGTGTGTAACAGGATGAATAGTGCACTGGAGGCACCAGCAATTACTTCAAGACTGGGCTGCTTGTCACAGAGAATTCTGGTTTTGCTGCATTGTTACTGTGGCAGCGTACGGTCCGGCCACTCATCATGGAATGCATGAAAGGAAACCTTAACCTCGAAAATAAATGTGAATTTATCGATGCAAAGCCACCGAGGGCCGTCTGCAGCCCTGGATTCTTCGAGTTAGATGGATTATGTATACAACGTAGAGGAGCACCATGTGACGACTCACCTGATGGCGACTCACCTGATGACTCTTCGCTGCCGTGGACTGAAAAATCAAAATCGATGAAATCTAGCACCGAATTTAGTGGGAATGTCTATCAAAAGGAAAGCGACCTTCCAAACTTCACCGCAAAAAAGGTGAGCACCTATTCCACGATTTTTCCAACACTTCAAGCCAGCAATGAACCTGAGATGAATTCAGTTGAATGGGAGCTGCCGGGCCAATCATTCGACGAATTCACCGCTTCTGAAGCACGCAAGCAGTATCCATTTCGACAAGTGACTGCCACGACGGAAATGCTTTCTACCACTGGGCTGGAGCAAGTATCGAATTATGGTATGGACGAATGGGCCTTCTCTACTAATTATGAAGAGCTTACGGAACACGAACACGGCCAGCGTTGGGACACTGCGAACAGAATCTCAGGATTTTCACGTGCTGTCGCCTCACCAGAGTTTCTCTCCAACGAAGTGATTGGGCGCAGACTTGAGGCCGCCAAACTACCATCTGACCAGTCCATGGGAGCAGTGCAAGGCAGTGAACTCCAAAATTCAGGGCGCCTTTCACCGATTTTGATTGCAAGTGAATATTTATCCAAGGAAAATCTAGGCGCAGTGTGGCCACGAACAGAAGCTCCACCAGTACGCTCTTCTTCAGGACCGCTATATGTTAATCTGATGTGGAATTCCCCCGTCCGTCCAGCCTCTTCGTTGCTTCAGAAAAACAATCTTTTGGTCCATGATACGACGCCGGGAATACCGGCAATCCGTCCGCAGCACATTCCGGTTTACCGGCCCTGGCACGACCAACGATTCTACCATGAAGCCGCTGGGAAGCAAGGCCCGTTTGCACGCCAGCAGCTACACTCAGCAAACTTGTTTGAAAAGGGCTTTGAAACGCACTTGCAGCCCCACGTACGCAGTGAGGCGCCACAAAAAGTAGTAACGGACGTGCGCTGGAGGGCTAATGACCCTGCGGGAGCGGATGGGGCCGGCAGTAAGGGGAAGAGAAACTCTCACTCGCAAGCCAGCGCAGACATTATTTCGTCCTCGAACAGTGTCTTTCAAGGTGAGAACGAACAAACTGTGGACAAAGAAAGCGGCACTGCAAATGTAAACGCTCACCAGCATCACTTGGTGCTCGATGGTCGCCACTTCTTTAGAAATGGTCCTGCACAGAAGAAACGAAGCGGCGCGAAGGAACACTGCACTAATGAACACTGCAGAGGAAGTCGCGGGCAGCTAAGTAGGCGCAGCTCTAGGGACAGCTCTTCGCAGCGGTCTTTCCAGGATAAAACAGACGGAGATGTGCAGTATTTGCATAGAAGGCGCCTTGAAGCGCTAGACTACATACCAGGCTGCTACGAAGTATGTCAAAGGTTTAAGAGGGCAGTAGGGCATTCCAATGCATTTTATGTAGACAGGTCGTCGCTACTGTGCCTGATCATTGGTTCACAGTGAATTTTTGGGTATGCGTTGTTTCTCTAGGAAGTAATAGAGGCACCTATTGACTGGGCTTGCGAGCCGAGCTATTCTCTGGACCCCGAACAGTTTTTGTGCATCCGGATCGAGCTTACCAGTCCCAACATCTTATGCGATGGAATAGTAGAGGGAACCTCGTGTGTTCATGTGGTAAGCTCTTTTGACTTTCTGAGGGAATATGCTGTTCGAGCATCAACTTCATGCGCTTGCGAGTAGCAATTTGCTCTGAAGCACTCAAGATGTGACTCACTTCAACCAAGACCACAGAGCATAACGTGTCCTGAAGTACCTGCGAATGTTTTCTTGTGGATAGCGATGTCCCATGACTCTCGGCGGCAAGTCTTTCATGACGCTATTAAGCTGATCTGTTGAGTCCCCACAGGTTCAAAAACCTCCTCAGTGGTATTGCCCTCTCGACCCTCCCCCTAGTAGCAAAGAAAACGACAGCAAGAAAAAAAAGCTGCCGGATAAATCAAAAAAGCAAGACGAAAAGCAGCCTGACTCAGGTAAAAAACCAAAGGAATCGAGCAAAGCAGAGAAAGCAAAGCAAGCAACCAAAGAACCAGAGGGAACCAGAAATGCGAAGAAGCCTGAGGCATTGGCTGAAAAACGCAAAGACGGCAGCAAGAGCAGCGAAAAAGACAGAAAAGACAGAAATGCTGAGACAGAGAATAAAAGAGCTGAGAGCCGTCTAAAGGCAAATGAATCAAGTACCTCGGACAATAAACCAGAGACTGCCAAGAATGACACAAGGAAACGCGACAGTAGCAGCCAGCGGCAGCCCCCGCAGGGCAGCCACTCCTCGGACACGAAGCCTGATCCTAAAAAGGAAGCTATCAAGGAAAGGGAGCAGGGTACTACTTCCTCAGGAAGCCAACCATCCTCTATGACGGGGCAAAACCGACGCAGACAACGCCGCCCAAACGCCGCAAACGGTGAAACCGGAGCAAATGAAGAAAAACGACAAAGCGCTGACGATGAGCAGGGAGACAGGACAAGCACTCGACCTACGGAGAGAAACGAGAATAGGCATCAGGAAGGATCCGGAGTGCGCAACCGGACAAATTCTCGCACGGGTAATTCTTCAGACAGCACTGACAACAATGCACATTCCGCAATGTCTGGGGCCCAAAACAGTAGAAACGAGTCTCAGACATCGCATGCCCAAACCCAAGAAAGCGCAACGCAGACAACTTCAAGAAGGCAACGAAGAAGCTCGACGGAAGACCAGCAAAAAGAAAACACACAAAGCGCGAAGAAGGAAGACAAACAACAACAACAAAAACGAGGCACAGGACGTTCAGAGGACGGAGCAGACAGCGAACAAGAGAGGCGACAGGAGCGCCGGAGCCGAGCGGCTGAAGCGGCAAGCTCAACAGACAGACAAGGTCCAGAGAGAGAAGAAGGTTCCAGCAGTGCTCCTGCTGCTGATCGCCAGCGGCGTCCGCAAGGCCGAGGGCAGCGGCCAACTCCAAGAGCAGAAAGTGGTGAAGAGGATGAGCGGAACGGCGACTTGACGCGTCATGTTCCAACTCGAGAGGACTCCACCACGCAAGCTCGTACAAGGCGGCCACCGTCGCAGGCGCAGCAAGCGCGAGACGGGTCACGCGCAAACGAAGGTTCTGGAGAGCTCCGAAGCGAACATGCCACAAGCGTTGTGGATGAAGATATAGCACTGACAGAAAGCAAGAGGAGTCGAAGACTTGATTCATTGCTGAGGAGAAGAGCAAAGAATTCTGGTTTGGTCTCCGACGTTTCGAAAATAGATACAGGACAGGATAATAGCGATGACGAAGCAAAACGTAACCAGGTGTCTGCAGAGATTAGCATGAGTGAAAGTAAGCAACATGCACACGCGAGCTTACTCCATGCGGGATATTCATCAAGTGCGCCACTGAGCTACTCAGCTGAAAGAATGAATGAGACTGGAAAGGGAGGAACGAGCTTCGAGCCAGCCCAAATGACTGCTGCACCCATGCCGGACTCTGGCTTTGTCAGGGCGGTGTCACCGCAGCATTACTTTGTGACGGGAGCCCAGCGCAAGTTAACTACAGCGGCAAATGTTGATGGCTCTCTGGAACTGAAGCTGCTCCACCAGACTGCTGAACGTTTGAATGCGCCGTTGCCCTCCCTTGAATCCGACGGTAATTCGCACTGGTTGACAAAAAACTCAGGAGAAGATACGCGCACCAAAGAATTGGGACGGCGAACCGCATATCGCAATTTGAATCTCACTGCATCAGGAGATATAAATTCCGAAGTTTTGCGTGGGCCAACGGAGCCTGTTGTTGAAGGCAGCAGTGGAGGCCAATTTCCTCGGCGACTAGGTTTTACAAAGCTACCTTACGCATATTTCATCATGGGCGTTAACCAATGGAGATACATTCATGACCCTGTTCATCAGCTGAAAATGGAGGCGGCTGCACAGCACGCAGCAGAGAAGGCAGCCTTGAAGAAAGGTGTTCAGATCCAGGAAATCAGCCCCTTGGATCCAACTACTGGACTACTGGGTCTTCCAACTCCCGCGGGGCCGCAGGTCTACACGCATGATTTAAAAGAGAAAAAGAAACCAATAATATCTCCTCTTAAAGTCCGAGAACCTGACATGTGCTACCGGCAAGAAAAACGAAAGCCTCTTGTGCAATGCCCTGTAGGATTTACTGAGAATAAAGAAGGTGGCTGCTACATGTTTGTCGCTCCTACGTTCACTTGTCTCGCAGTAAGTCTACCACAGACTCTGCCCGTCCATTCGCCTTACATTTTGTCTAAACGGTGCAGTACTACGTATTCGTAAAAGCGTTCGCTCGCGTGTGCACTAAAGAAGCAGTTCGGCCATCTTTACCAGCTCCATAGGCCAAGCAATTTTTGCTTGTTGTGATGCCTGTAGGGATACTTTTATGAGAACGGGCAATGCATACAGCATAGAGAACTCGACATCGCAGTCCCTCCAAGTGAAAAGAAGCCCAGTGGAAAGGCCAAGAGGGGCTGAATGCGAAAATTCGTTCCCAGTGCTGGGCATCCGACAACACCAAGCCGGTCACGGCAAAGTGCATGTTTGTACCGGCCCATTCCAAACGCTAGCTGAATACGCATGCCAAGCACTGGCTGTAAACCACACAGCATTATAGGAGACAGTCGAGATCGGCTGACAAGAGGTCACCGCTCACCAGCAGAGCGTTCCATCGCCATTTGAGATTTCTGCGAAGGCGCTCATCAATGCAAAGCCAAAACTTCTACTTTCGAAGTTGGCACTGCAGACCGGCCTTTGCTTTATCAGCTCTCCCAATTGGCAAACTGAAAGCAGTCTGCTGCTAGAAGCTTACTCAATGATTTACATTGGAGGCTCCAGTCAAAGCAGAATGAATCAGGCATACGCAGACCCGTGTTTGGTTATATGTTTGGTGCTCTTATATAGGCTTTCTTTTACTTTGAAACTCCCAACCCTCACAAAAAAGCCACTGCTGGCATGCCTCACATACATTTTATCTGTGAATTTCGATGGGAACTCAGGAACAAAACCGTTTACTGCAGCCTCCTTCAAGTGAATGTGATGTTGGTAAAGGTGAGGACGAAGACTTGTTTAAAGCCAGCGGTTGAAAGGCCTATGACATATTGTCAAGTCTCTCATCATGTGCTTCCTCCACTTATGCACCTTATATGCACCTAATGTCTGACCTTTCACATATAAAACACCAGCTTTTACATGGCATTTATACTCTCCAGTTCGCTCGCCTCCACAGAGAGGGTACAGTTCTACGGGTTTCTTGCTGAGAAAGGCGGGAAATCCGGCAGCAAACAGGACTCACATGTAGCACAGGCACTTCAGCAACGAAAAGATCACACGATGCAAAAACAAGTAGCCAAAAGTAGCCTGCAACGGCTGTTTAGCCTACATTTCTGTCAAAGTATTGTAGCGCGTCCCCAGAAACTCATAAAAGAAATTGAAAGAAATAAACTTTTGGATACGCAGCATTCAAAAGGTTTACCATATTATCGCGCACATCATGTATACTGTTTCCAAAGATGCCTAAATCTCAAGGCACGCTGACGTCACACGGGAGATGGCACTGAGGCAAGATGCTGGTGCTAACTGCTGAAGCTGCTTCACTGCACTTACTGAGCGGTTGTTATGATTCCCAAAATTTTTGTTGCCATGTGGGCCAACTAACTATGCCAAGCAGGAAATTATCTAGCTGTTCCAATAAACGCAGTCTGTGTTTCATCTCGTAGTGCACGAGGCTCATCAGGGAGCGATACGGGATTTCGCGAACACTTTGTAGCACTGTGTTGTGCAGATGTGTGCAGTTGCGTTAGATCCTAGTGGCTGTCGAGTGACTGCCCGAGACCGACGACCACAAAATCTACACAAACTAAGAACGATAACCACAAAATCTACGCAAAAGCATAATGTTTATCTGTGACAGCTGCAGGCTTGCGTGCACAAATCTATGCCCTCAACTCCTCTAATGAGGTGGCTACTGAGGCGGCATTATTAGTTCTGCGCCATGAAATCATTAGAAGTAACTACGTTTTCTCTCAGCACATGCTAGATTGGAGTCGTGAACAAATCAGAAGTGAGTGCCTTTTTCTCCCGGCGTGTGGTTTGGAAAGCATATCTCACATTTAAGGTTTACTACGTTGTGGCTCTTTCTAAAAGGCAATTATGCATTTTTGTCATGTCTAGTATGCATACGTTGAATGAAAAATGTTAGAACTTCAGAGTTATTGACCCCTGAGGATATCTACACCGTCAGCTACCCAGAATACCTGCTCCACGCGAGGACAGCAATCTTTTGAGTAGTAAACACTTTCAAGCAGCAGAATGCTTTAGAGTGTTTACTAAACACTCTAAAGCAGCAGAGTGCATCCGACCTAATGGAATGCCTAGTATGATGCGGAATATCAACCCACTAGCGATGAAAAAGCAGGCTCCGCTTGAGCGGATAACCGTTCTTGCGCATTCTTTGTGTGTCAGTGGCTACAAGGCAGCCGTATTGCTAATATGAACTACTCACGAACGTACATAGTCAGCCCACTGACACTTGGTACTGAGCAAGGTGGCTTACGAACAGAAAAGGCATGTGGAACGTAGACCACGAATTTTTTCGCTGAATGGACAGAACCAGAATGGCAATTGATCAAATGACAAAATCTAGGACAGCCGCATACGAGGTGCCCAATGTGCAGTTCACGAATGACAAAGAGGACTGAGAGATTAACGTTGGGCATGTTCCCTGTGAAGTCCGAACTACTGCTACCCTTGTCGCCTTCACCAGTTATTTAATGGTTATCAGCCCCCACCAGTACCTGTTTCAAGGCGATACGATTTCTTCAAAGTTTTCGTACCTTATAATAATATGAACTCAATTGTACGAGGTTAATCAAGATATTCAGTAGTTGTTGGCGAGAATCATGTACCTTTGACAGTCAGTGCAGAGTGTGCACCCTAGTTGGACTTGCCCAGGGGCATACGTAGTAACAGTGTAGACACCTGTTCACTACATTTGGGTGAATCATGAAGTGTCATGAAGGACGATGTGTCTGGTGGCCCGTCAGCTCAATACCAGGAGAGCACTAGAAGCAAAGCCAGTGGCTCACGCCTCGCGCTCTGAGAAAAGCCCATCTGCTCAGTATATCTCTCTTATGTTCACTCAACAGTGATATGTATGAAGTTCTCCTGCTTCACGACAGTCAAAACATAAGATCCTGCAGCAGTCTTCATGTGGAGTACCCAACAGGCCTTGACTATCGTTCTTCGAACATGAACTGTAGAAAGAAGTCGCGAACAAGACCAGAATGCTTTATTTAGTATGTAGAAATCTAGCATAAGCGCTTTCCTTCTGTGGTGAACTACCAAGCACCTGGAAGATGCATGGATGGTAAGTAAAACTGCACTTTCCCGGCAGTGTTGAATTTCGAGCAGGAACACTGCCCAGTTGAATGAAACATTTATCTTGCATTCCAGAAAATCTCAGAACAAATTTCAAAGAAGTGGCGTTTGCGCTGAGCTGCGTTGGCCGTTAGCCGTTTTACGCAGAAGAGCGCAGCCGCCATGGCAGGCAAGACCACCCAGAACAGCGATCGGGAGACCGCTGGTTTCCATCAGGATCGAAATAGAAATTGACGTTTTGTACACCCTCGCAAATCCAGAGCTTATTTGGTGGTATATGAATAAAAATCTACATTGAAGCTGCCGGGGGCCGGCTCCTTGTGCGGAAATATCTTTGGGTTTCGTGGGAATCACCTTAGCTGCCGGCGGCACCGTTGGCAACTTATGAGCTGAAACAAAGGAAGCCTTGTGATTCAGCACTCGCATGACATTTCTGAGACAACGCCCTATGCGTTGCGGCAAGCCTTTCCCGCTTGACTAGTGGAGGCTCGAACCAACAATTTCGTAATTCATGCCGTGGCCGAGCATCCGAGTTAACAAAGGCCTCCTTGAAATTGTCCCGTAATCTCAGCCAACTCTTTACCTCGCGGAGTCACCGCTGGCAAGGCTGTGAACACGTCAGGTGGACAAGCAGCACTATGTAGGCAACCTATTCGAGGAATGAGCGCAGTCCCAGTTCGGCGCTCCAAGTAGGGCAAAATTTCCCACTCACGGGCTGTTGAAGAGGCTTTTTTGGATTTTATTCTATTCATTAACTCATCGTCGAGGCCCGTCCATTTCTGTCGATGGGGTTCAGGGAGTTTCCACGACGTGTACAGTAGCCGACAACCCGATCGTCACTGGGGAAAGGTCCCCTGCTGGAGCCATGGAGGCTCCAAGGGCGAACGAGCCAACATCGATACGTTCGTCATATCTCGATTCCAGAAGCATTGCTAACTGCGAAGTTGTAGAGTTGTCCGCGGGAAATGCTGACTACGAAGATGCAGAGATGCCCGCCGGCCGTCCCTCAGCTGTCGTGCTTGAACTCACCCATTCCGCGAGTCCAACAGAAAGTAACGACCCGGAAAATTACCGTACGCCTTCACAGCACAACTCTACAAGCAACAGACGAAATGGCTCACAGCTTTCTTCCCCTGAGCAAACTCAAAAGAAAGCCACAGAGGGCGGCAGGCAAACAACGTCGCGGCGAGAAAGCGGCACTTCTTTGCCGAAAAAGCCCCTATATATGCGCCTTCCATGCATCGAATCAATCGCGGTATGCCGCCCAAACCTGAGCAACATAAAGTCGAGTGCCACGTTAGATACAAATTAACTTCTCGGTAGTGCGGCGCAGCAACCGTTATCAGTGGAGTTGGGAAGTAAATGCAGGTGCCCACTGCCCCTCACATTGCGTCCCATAGAGTTGGCGTAGAGTGCAGATACTCACCAGATTAATTACACTAACACCCACGGCAGGAGTTTCTGGTCATGTGGATTCCTTTGTCCTGAAGAATTGGTTCGACCAGATGTGGTATGCGGAGTCGGTTTATGTACGCTACGGCGAAGGCGCGATCACAAATGTGTCCACAAAAGGCACTGCACGAACAAAAGGTGGGCAAGATCCAGAGAAGTATACAGGCAAAGACAAGGAAGTTACTAGACTGGCAAGATCTGCTTGGATCTGTGTTGTATATGAGCACCGTGTTCCTGAATATAACTTATTTTGTGGATGCCAAAGGGCATTCTGGCTTGACTCTTTACACCAGATACTTCAAGTTTCGCAGAGCATTTGTACTTCGGGTGCACTTGGTCTGAATTGCAGCACTTTATTTAAGTAGATCTTCTATATTGAACGGTGCTCAGTGGGGCTCTCAAGTTGCTTCCTGCAATAGAAATTCAGGGAAACCTTGGTGGGGCCGGCCTCTGACGAATGCATTCTGTTGTCTGCAGTTGACATGGGCCGTTCTGCGGCTACGCAATGCAGTTTTTACTCGACAGGGGCAGGCAGCGAGGCAGGGGAAATTTCTGAGCTCAAGAGGCAGCAGAGAGCCAATATTAGCCTCCTACCCTTGCGTTTTAAAGACGAAGAGACCGAGAATGAGTTTGTATACAATAGCAGGCGCCTCATGGAGTGGCGAAGCATTTGTCTCTTCTGCTTCAAGATACTGGCCACAACATGCGTTTATGCTATCCTTGCTTGTGGGGCGTTCGGGCACTGGACGTCCGTCCCGGAAAGTTTCATATTGGGGCTTCACGGAATATACGCTACCTTGATTTTTTTGGCGACGTGCTCAGTTTTGGCCCCAGCCATTCCATGGATTAGGCAAAGACTGGAATACTGGCTCTACGCAGTACTAGCTGCGGAAGCTGCAGCTGTGGTTATATTTGTAACAAATGAAAAACTGTCGATATATCCCAGCCATGAACTTGACCCCAGTTCGATGCAGCTGTCCGCGAGGAGTTTGAGTGAAGAACCCGCAGGCCAAGGGATATGCACTCGCAACGTCAATTTGGCAGTCTTCATCCTGTCTATGGAGCTGATTCTCGACGCATGGTTGCAGTTCTTTATGTATCTTTTCATGGTCTCTGTGAGCGTAGTCTTGCCGACGCGCGTCCGCATAGCGGCTTGGGTCCAGCTGGCTGTTTTGCTCCTTTACTGCCTCCCCGTTTTTATAGGGCAGCGCTACTGCCACGCACTCTTATATCCAGAGTGAGCTTTTAGCTTTGATTTGCTGAGGTTCCCTTCTTTGTCGCCCTTGGACTGATGTATGCCGCATGTCAGTGCAGTTTCCTTCGTGGAGGGTGCCTCGAGATTACGTCAGCATTCCCAGGCAGAATACTCTTGGATGGATACTTCTGCAGGTTACTCCGCATGTTGCACGGGCTAATCATGTTGATCTCTTCCATTGCTGGATCATACGCAAGTGAATCAAAGCGTCGAGGCCTATTCTATTCTTGGATTGTAAGCTAAATAAAGATAAGTGGAGCATGCCTTCACTTGGCAGATGTTTTTCTGGTTCTGTATAGGAAATGGCAACTTGGAAATACTGTGAATAACTAGGATCAGTATTAATGGTGCTGTCTCTTTTTGGGAATGCGTGCAGATGATGAAGCGGCGCATGAAGCTCCTGGAGGCTGAACGTGACAAGCCGAGAGATGATAACATGCGCAGTGGGGTGTCTGCGCTCCAACGGCACTGCAAGCAGGTGAGAACCTTTGAGAACTTGCAGAGCAGCCGTTTGCCGTTTGCATTATGAGCGCTTAAATAAATCGTGCTAAATATTAGGCATTCAAGCGTATGCCAATGCTTGGGTCCCCATTCGATATTTAGTCTATCTGCAGCAATATACCATCCACCTTACACCAGAATCTGCTTCTATGGTGGCTTGAATTTACAGGCAGAGGTAGCTTTGATGAGCGCGAAGACTGCTCCAGGAGGAACTAACATTTCATCCCAGATAAGAGACGCTGTGAATAATATAAAGGCGTGCCTGGATATCATGTCGAAAAGCAAGGACCTGTACCATACAGAACTCAAAGAAGAACTTCGAGAAAAGGTGAATGACCTAAAACTGCTTTTTGGACGCAAGAAGCAACTGCAAAAGTCATCACACACTCTGCAGCTACACAGTGCTAAATGCGGTACTGAACTACATATATAATCTTGACAAGGCGCTTGATCTCTTGTCTTGCGTGGATCTCAGACATTCATCAAGGCGTTTAACGTGGAAAAACAGACTGGGAAAGGCCTGTTGGCTGCCGTTGATCGGAGAGTCTCCGGAGCGCAATCCGTCCGGGCGGGAGATTCAGTTGCAGGACAACGGATGAACAGTCCGTTCAAATCCGTCTCAAGAGTATCTCCGTATTACTCAGCTGCTACGTTTAGCCACGCACTTGTAAATGCAAGTGCGGCAGTTGTAGTCTGCCTCTGACCAGTTTTTGCTCGGCGAGAAAGGAGCACACCTGAGCATGCATTTTCTGCATGCTTTTGCCTCTTCAGGTCTTCCAGTTTGCACTGCAGGTGTTCTACTCCCATTATTCGTAAGCTGAGTAGTCAGAATACATGCCTGCAAAGCATTAAAGGAAATGCAGCCATGGGTCTTCCTTTCGCGGCCCTGCATTAGATCCATTAGATGCCAAAATAGTTTAGCATGCTAAATAGCTTAGCCTTTCTTGACCTCACTCATGAGAAAACCAAGCCGATCTGTGCAGTGAGGCGTTCCTTCTTTCATGCCGGACTCCCTGCAGACGACCGAGATCGCTTCTCGTGTAGGCGTCGACATAACCTTCAACCAATTAGGTGTAAGTGTTCCTAGTGCCATTTATTTGAGGGGTATTCCACGGTTTCTTGACAGTAAAAGGGCATGGTACAAAAGCGTAGCATATTCAGTTGCACAACTGAGGCATTTGCTGAGTGTCTGCTACACTTCTCAGTTTAACCGGAAGGTAAAAGAAAAAGATGCAAATAGTTCGGCCTTCTTTGAGTGCGGATATTCATTGCTCTGGCATTATGCTGCCGACTGGGGATGCGAGGACTGTGTACTTCGTACATTTCTTATCGAGATCGAAAGCTTGTACAACGATCTCCCTTACCACAATTCCATCCATGGAGCAATGGTATGCCTGCGTTATACAGTTTGAAAACCATAGGAGGTTTCTTAGTCAAACCATCACCAAAGAATGAGCAAGTGAAGGAGAATCTGCTGCTGCTTTAAAAATTGCTGCTGTTCTACAAAGTGCTTAAGTGGCTATTAGTGCTCACTGCAGCATTTCTCTGGCCACGTCAGCGACTGCTGGGGCAGCTGCGCCGTTGAGTGTGGTCGTTGCAGGTAGCACACTTGATGGGAATATTCTGCCGTTATACGAGGCTTCACACTCAGTACGCGGCATACCTAGCCACTATTTAGGTATCTCTGACGCCAACCACGCCAAAGTCTCGCCTACGTAGACTGAAGCCACAGTATACTGGCCCCTGCTTCGGCTTGATTAGCGAAAATGTTTCCGTGTGCACATATCCATATCTGTGCACGCAACCCATCGCACCACAGGGTAAATTCACTGGGAGCTGGTGCTGTCCTTGTAGCAGCTTTGTGCCATGACGTGGGACACCCAGGACGCAATAATGCATTTTTTTGTGCTGCTTCAACACCATTAGTACGTGTAATCTCATCTAAAGAGAACGCTGCGTTGATGACACAGTGAATTATTAGCTAGCGAAATTCGCCCCTCACCGTCTTTGCGCATAATAGGCTGCTCAGTGTAATTTAGGGCTCTCCGCTTGCGAAAACTGTGTATCAATGTACAGGCAATTCTATACAACGACCGTTCTGTCCTTGAGAACTTCCACGCTGCACTGACCTTTAAAGTGCTGTCTCACACCTCTTGCAACATCTTTGCGTCCTTAGCGAAAGACGTAGGCGGGCCTGCTAAGTTCTCCTCTGGCCAACTATGCCAATACAGTGTTTGTGTTTTTCGCTTGAGGGGCCTTCTAAGGTTGAGGTTGGCATCAGCTCGTCTGCAAGAAGACCAAGACAGTGTTGTCAGTCAATTTCTCTCATCCTGGCTCATTTTTCTTTCAGGAGATTTTGGAAGTGAGGTCAAACATGATATCTCTTATTCTGGCCACAGACATGAAAAGCCACTTCGGTGCAATAAACCGACTGAGAGCAGCGAGGCAAAATCCGCATTTTGATCATAGAAAGCAAAGAGATGACACTTGGTAAGTTCTTTTAGAAACTTCTCCCATAGCTTCCAAGGGTGGCAGCTTGATACGTATCTTACATGCTATCGGCTTGTCTCAGGCTTATTATGGAGATGTGTATGCGCGCCGCTGATATTGGGCATAGCATTCTGTCATGGGACCAACATTTCGAGTGGAGTAGTCGAGTAACTGCTGAATTTTACCTTCAAGGAGATGAAGAGGCAAGACACGGGAGAAGCATTTCACCTTTGTGCGATAGAGACTTGCACAGCTCTATGGCCCGAAATCAAGTTGGATTCCTGGAACACCTCGTTAAGCCGCTTTTCGTCGAGCTCCACAGCGTAGATAGCATGAAAGGCGCATTGTAAGGCTCATACATCATTCTGAAGCAAACGGGGTTCACTCCACGTCAGAAGAAAAGCTTTCTCAGGAAATCGGGTATGCTGTTGTGTGCCTATCAACCTCAGCCAAGAAGCTGTCGACACAATAGATGCGAACATTAGTAGGTGGCAACAATTGCAAGACATCGGGGTCGATGTGACGTTCTCGCCAGTTGTAATGGCTTGCGAGGATCGACTTAAGGTATGGCCTGCTCACGCCTCTACATAGTTGCAACAAGAGCGCCAAGTGTAGAGGAGGAGTTTTTGTCTCTGTTATCGCTGGGAAAGTGCAATATCCCGCGCTTCTCTAACGGCTTGATTGTCTTCACGCTTCCTCCTCGCTGTATGTAAAACTGATGGCATGCTTGCAGGGAAAAGACCACGTCTTGGACGTCAGTCTCATCACTGAAACAAGGTATGCTGCTGCTTGGCTACACTTTGGTGTGAATGGTAGCTTCGACCATGCTACCTCAAGGCTGAAGGCTATTCGAGAATGTCTGCTAATCTGAATTTTGGCCACATCTTTCATCACAACTTTTCTATCTGCAAGTTTGTCATTTGCTTATGTGTATGTTCTTTTTTGATTTGATTTTGGTGTAGAGGATCGTGGCGCAGTCACTTAGGCTGCAAAGCTCTAGCCCGAATATATACGTTCGTTCTGCGTTATTACTGAAACTTCTATTCCTGTCAATCTCTTTGTAGACCTCGCTGCTGTGTTTGTGAACAGATGCAGGTGCCCGTGTTGTGAGTCTGGAAATGCGGCATGCAAGAATGTTGGGAGAAAAGTTCGAATCAATGAGCACGTGGAGCAAGAAAAACACGATGCTTGATGTGACGCATTGTAGTGCGCTTCCATAATGACAGTGCAAAATTTACAGGCCAACTGTTTTGTACCGTCAGTGCTGCTCGCTTTTTAATACCTCTGACTGCAGGAGACCGCTCATTTAAATTGCTCAACAGACAACAAACCTGTCTGCAGGGCACGAAAATTTGTTGAGATCTCCACTCCGACCAAACGTCCACCTCTTTTGGCAGATACGTGAAGAATAGTCTTACGCAAAGCGTCTTAGGTCACTAGACAGTATGCCCACACATTCTAAAGGACTATGGGGTGCATGATGCTGCAGATTCCTCTCAGCATCAAACACGACCGAGTGATAATGTGCATTAAGCTTTTGCAGGTTCTAACTGCATGTTGTCCATTTTGCATAATGATCACGTGAGTTTCCATTCTATCCACTGCAGGCAGACTACAGCGAACTACTAAGACAGGCCTGTAGAGCACTCAGGCCGCTCGTGGTAGTTTTTCCATGGGAACTACCAATGTAAGTAACATTGTTCACAGTGCAGAAGCCTCATGGTGACTTCTCAAATGTGAACAAACTGCTGTTGCAAGTTGCCTGGCTGCTACAGGCCTGAGAGTCGGGCACAAGGCTCTGGCACATATTTTTGTAAAAAAGACAATAATTGATGAGGAGTGGTCTTTCGCACTCCTGGGTAAATAGGGTCGTCTCCCCTTTGCTAACTAACTGTCAGAAGCTTCTCCCAAGCAAACAGGAGCATTTGCTCCCGCAGCTTTAGCTATCCTTTGCCTGATGGCTGACATCGTGAAATTCGAAGAGCTGCAGATTGTGCTAAATTTTGTACGCTCTGATCCGAAGGTCACGTCGCCTAATCTTTCTGCTTACCCTGTATAAAAGCTACGGCTCAGCCCCAGAAGAATGTCTGGTCTATCCCTGGCACCGGGCTGTCGTCATTGGATTCAATGCTCCAAGCACGCTTGTGGGGAGTTGCATTTGCTGCGCACGGGTCTTCGGCAGCAGGCGGCAACGCAAAGCCCACATCTGGCTCCCCTGCGTCGGCCCGAAGCTGGCTTGTCTTATCTGAAGGCTTCGTCGTTGCCTCCGCGAGGCTTGCAGCACGATCGACCACTTTATTTTGGTCGTGGGCAGAGTTGTCAGTTGGACTTTGCTTCTGTGTTTCGTCATGGCTGCCGCCATACGGCACTCCGGAAGCCTCCACAGAAGCACCTGGAACGGCTTTACCGAGACTACTAACGTTTTCAACTTCGCCTTCAGTGCTATTCTTTGGATCTGCAGCTTCATCAACTGACTTAGCCTCGGGTGCTGAGTCTTTTAGATGCAACGCGCTCTGCGATGGGTCCGCTGAAGGGGCTGCTTCTTTGGCGGGAGCCTCGCTGGTTTGCTCCTTCCCACTATTACTTGTCCCCGGAGATTCCTTCTCAGCAGAGCCTTCAGCGCTTCCTGCTTGATCAGATAAGCTCACAACGCTACGTTCGTGAGACAGCGCCTTGTCGCCAAGAGAACCTGAATGGGCACAAGCTTCTGAGAGGGGCAAATGTAATCAGGCTTGTACTTTCCAGAAGCGTGCTTCAAAAGCCATGAAGCAGCGCAGTCAGTGCTTGAGTAGAATATCAGCTCAGGAACCTTCACTGTCACTTGTGTGTGAAAGGCTGCTACTTCGTAAGTTAGCCAGAGCAGTCGTCTACATGCAACGTACTTCCGTCATCCTGCTGGCTTGAACTGTTCTTTTTCAGTCGGTAGCACTTGCACTTGCAGCTGAAGTACACATTCAAGCTCTTGCATTTCATAGCACTTAAAGGTTTCCATGCTACTCCAGCGGCGCTGCATTCTCCAGCAATTCCCACGTAGTTCTACGAAGAGAATGAATAGAATGACAAGCTGACCTTTTAGATGATGGACGAGGGTTCTTCAGGCCGTCTTCTCTTGTAAGTATAGAAATGTCCAAATAATGAGGAAGACCCTGAGAGACAGTACCCAGCGTACACCTGTGTCTTTATTCTACGACGCAAACGCCTTGAAAAGCATTCATTGCAAAATCCACTCCCTCTTGTGATGTGGGAGCCATGGCGCCCGCACCTTCATTCCAGCATCCAGTTCGCGCACGATGTATGGAAAAACGATAAGTTCTTCAGCCTTCCCCAGTTCTTCCCACCGTTCACAGTTTGTATCTAGGTTCTTAAGCATCTCAGCGCTGCAAAGAACAATCGCAATCAGAAACTTTCAGATGGTGATGGTGGTCCTACTGCACAGCTGGAGAGCGTAAGTGCACATGGAACCTATCTCCCCTGCACCCTTTCTTGCTCGGGGTGTGGTCGCAAATTCTAAAGCACACTCACATCGGCTTCTTCTGGTCATCAATGGCATGCAGCTCTGCGAAAAGAGGCCGTACGACGTGACGCAGGAAGCCAACCTGGCTTTTCGCCAGTTGTGAATGCGTTTCTCGGTCGCAAAGAGGCGATATCGTCCGCCCGAGGCGAGCCTCCTCATCTCCTTGAAGATAAAACTCTGTCGTTGCTCTAGCTGTCCACTCAAAATGCTGTTTCCACCCCAAGGCGCCGTGCCCAATGTCTGATGCTCGGATGCACAACTCCACTGCAAGCCTGGGCGCACTGACAGCCAAGACTGTCCCAAAATTCAACCAAGTTTAAAGCAATATTATCTTGAATATGCAAACAAAAGGACATCTTCAACGAAACCTTCTGGGCGCTAAATCGTCGCTTATTCGCAAACTCGCATGTGCGATGTCCCATCTGCATGCTCATCCTTGCTCCATGTCAGAGTGCTCCTTACCATCGATCGTCGTCGTTCCTTCTGAAATTAAACTGGTCAGATTCCCGGATCGTGCGAAAGCGATTCAAAAATTCAAAGTGTGTCCTCATGTCCGTTGCTAATATTAAGTCAATAATCTTAGAACGCACCTCTCGAACCTCCTAGCAGCGAAAAGATAGACAAAACCATGCAAACAACGCCCAGTGTTGTTACCACCTACAAAGGTTATTTTCAAGCTACACGGAAACACTGCACAAGCAGTACTTACTGCGTCCGACAAGAGGGTGAACAGGTTGCAGCTGGGGTCAGCAAGAACACGAAAAGTTAGTGATGAGTGGAAATTCTCGAGTACCGAGGCATCATTGTACAATATGCTCTAAGAACAAAAATGGCAATGGTGAGAAAACAGGACGAAGTACGCTGGCCTCGGAGCATCATGCACTGCCCTCGAAAAAGTACCCCTTTGTGAAGCCGTGCTGCAGTGAAGGCACGGTGTCTTACGTTCTTAGTTTTGCGCTACACTACACACATACCAGTGGCGACATTTCGGCCACGAAAAAGTTGTTATTTCGGCCAGGGTGGCCGACGTCGTGGCATAATCCTGCCACAAGACAAGAGCCAACACCAAGTGCGTTCATTCTGAAGGCGCAGCAACGCAATCGCACCCAAAGCGTCACCTGCATTTGTAGCTACCATTTGTGGCTCCACAAAGATTGACACAATAAAATGCTATCCCCTCAAATTCTTCACAAGCTTCATTTCGGTAGCTCGCGGTTTAATAGTTCAAATTCTGCTGCTTCTTAGTGCGCGTCCAGGAGGGTGTAGGAGCTGCTTTTTGGAGCACTGACTCCCTAAAGATTCCGAGCGTTCTGCATAGCAGACTCATGCTGTGCGCCACCTGAATAAAAGATGCAACCAACCCATACGACATTTTAGGGATGTCTGCACTGCGCTGTAGTGTTCCCCAGTTGCAAGCTATAACAGAAAGCTCGCTGACTAAGACGGCCATGCGAAGCTTGAAGTCATCAGCTAGTAACCAGTTGCAAGGTTTCCAAAATTCAAAAGGGGGGTCCATAATTCGGAAAAATAATGAAAACGCGTTGAGCTCACCAGTGTTCCATGCTTAGCATTGTGGTATGGCTGCTTCTGATACAGTGCATCAATTTGCACCAAAAAGTTTCGAAGCACCACGTCTTCGCATCCCCAGTCGGCTGCAACACGGGCTAAAAGGGCGGTTCCCGCATCCAGCAAAACACTTGATCGTCCATCTGAATGGGACCTCTCAAACTGCTCACAAACTGCCAAAGCGCATGAAGCCCTGAAGGTCGGACCCATATTGGTGTCGCAAGAAGCATGAACCCTAAAATATGTTCCCACTGAACCCGAGAGCCTTAATGGACGGCCTCTTGAGTGTGAGCAGCCAGTGCCTGTGGTGCGTGGACTGCTGTGCAGTCAAGTAGTCAAGCCCTTGAAAGCTTTTGCAACTGCAGCGACTCTAATTATGCTGCCAGAAGGTTAAAATATTCCGCTTTTTGTCGTGAATGTGTTGCTTTGTGAGCATGCCCTCGCCGCGAAAAATGCAAAATGTGTGTTGCGTACCTCCAGGGGATCAAATCCCAAATCGATTCCCACAACTGGGAGCAGCAGCGCCGCCTGAAGCAAAGGCAAGAGTATTTAAGAAAGGCGTTCACACGCTCGACGTCTCAATATTATTAACGCCAGAAGTATAGCTGACGAAAGCAACCTGGCAGAAAGACAGGGTTTCCACGTGACAGCAACGATTCTCAAATTATTTGGCAGCGAACAACAAGGCGCATCGAGTAATGGACACTACTAGTTGGATGACACCGGAATGGAAATGTTCAAAAATTAAAAAAATTTAGCCACTGCAGCGCTCACATTATGAGCTTCCATTTCACCTGCAGGAATCATGGACTGTCCAGCGCGTGAGTGGACATCCGAAGTTCCTGAACCGCGCCACAGCCAAGAGCAGAGGCGTTCACTCTTCTAGTCGAGAGCAGCGTAAATGTCACAGTAAAAAGTGTTCTACCCAATTAGTTCTTTGTGTATTGTGTACAAACCTTGGCCAAATTTTCCTCCTACTCTACTGTTCCCCCCAACAGTGCTAGAGATGGCGCTTTCGGCATTCAGCAAATTCCGCGCCTGAGACCCTCCGATGTTAAACGCCTTGATAAAGCTCTGTTGGGCAAAACACAGCTGCGCATTTCCGTCATTAGAATAAGGTCATGCAATAATTGCAGATACAAACGACGGTGGAAAATATACAGCCGCAGCAATTGCGCGAAGGCGTTTCGACTCGCAGAACAGCGTCAATTTGAGCCGCAGTTGACGCCCACCTCATCTTTCAGATCCTCGTCAACATTGGTAATATAAAGATTCTTGCAAGTTGAAAAGATAAATAGGCTCTCTTGAACAAGGGTGAGTGCTTGGGAGACTCCTGCTGCTACGTCGAATTTGCCAGAATTTGCTTTCATGTCAGTCAAGATTTCCAAAGCCTGCATCAAATTGAACACATGAACGCTCCCACTACTCTAAAACTACAGTTATACCTGCAGACAAAAAATGAAGGGCCAATCTTCAGCGCCAAAGGACCTGTTTGAAACCTTGTTCAGCACTTCAAAGTACGCTCAAAATTTCCATAGAATTTATCAAGGGCAAGTTCACCTGGTTCAAGTTGGAGCGAATATCATCAAGGGCGCTGCTGCTGCCTGCCGCCTTCTGCGCCCTCCTCCTAATGTTCAAGAGGTTGGCAACAGCACGTTTCATCGACTGGCAAACACAAGCATGTAAAAGGAGAGAGTATCCTCAGTTAGCAGGCCTGAAATCTATTCAAATGTACTTCTGCAGACGTTGGCATCTGGATATCTCTTAACTGGCGATGCTGCCGTAGAAAGCTCATGAGCTTCTGGAAATACGCAAGGATTTGTCCTACCAGCCATTCGAAAAAGAGACCTCGCCTTCGCAGTTCCATTGGGTACGAGCCTACAAACCCTGCAGCTGATATTGTGCAGATGCACACTATCGTCGCTGTGCTGCACGCACAATACCGAGCAGTGAACTTTAATACCCGGCATTTTTTGTTAGTGCAAGAGAGCCGGGCTGACTCGACTGTGCTGAAATTTGACAAGCGAGAAGACTTGAAAATCTGGAGATATCTACTTCCAATTTACAGTGACGATGGCGCCAGGTCTTAAGGTACAGAACTTCTCTGAATTTGAGCGCATGAAGTGCCTTCAATTGCAGACGGCTCTTTGGACGTCAGTCTCACTTAGGAAGAAGTGTTTCTGGGAGCTGGGTCGCGCCGTAAATGAAGGGAATCGTTCCAAGTATTGTGTTCAGTCCCTGGATCCTTGATACAATGAAGAAGCGCGTAGGCGATAGGACATCAAACAGGACATAAATGATAAGAATGGTGGATTGAAACGATATTCCCATGAAGAGCTCGTTAAAGAGCACAACAAAATGGTAAACGGAAGAATCTTTCTTATCTGGAGGATCCTCGGAGTCGAAGCTCATGCCGAACAGCTCGCTTACGGAGGGAGCAAACTTGACGAAATTTTCTTGTGTGTACAGTGAAGATTTCCACCATAGAACGAGCACGCAGTGCACTACTACAGCAGAAGTTGCAATGAAGTAGGATGTATACTCCAGATACCCCTTAACATACGGAATGCGGTAGGAAAAGGCGTAGGACAAACAGAAAATTGTGCAGCACACAAAAAATGTTATGGAGGACCGAAATACAAACACATCATGTGCGAAAACCCCCGCGTGCCACGCCATTGTATACAATATAATGTCGACTACAACGAGAAAAGACGCGAACAGGCCCGCCAAAACATTGCGAAACCGCGCTGTCCTTTCTTGGTTATAGGCAAACTCTTTCTCCATCGATTTGTCCGTGTAGCGCAATGGACACAATGTGAGGCTTTCTCGGGACCCTTTGTTCTGAGCTGCGAGAATGACATGGGACGCTTTTACATCCGGATTGTCTTTCCGCTTGCCTATACCAAAACCATCACAGAGCACATGGCACACTTGGTGCATGAATATGATTTGAGTTCGTTGCATGAATTGGATCTGTTGCTAGTTTTTACTTCGTTTCTCTTTCAAAAGCCCCCTATGCCTATATTTGATTCTTTGTTCATACGCCCCCTATGCTTAAACTGCTGGCATGTCACCCGGTTCTGAATGGGCTGTTTGCACTCACGCAGCTCGGCTTGGTTCGCCTGTGTCTCCTCTCTAAGGATGAAGGATGTTTCGCGTGTCCACACTTCACGACCCCAACTCTACGAGCAGCAGTGGCGCACAGGAAGGAAATTCGTGAGTCAGTTTCTTTTAATTTACACAAAAGTCTGCTGCGGAGGCTAAAGCTAGTAGTGCTTTAAGGTGAGCGTTGTATTCAGTCTAAATGAGGCTCTTTGGAGGCGGCAACATGCCCACGTAAACATTCCAATACACCCAAACACGTGTGCGTACGTTACGTACACAAGAAGGCCTACGCCTGTACATTGTACAAATATGTTTGCGAAAGTAGAAGCACACGAACTAATACATCCCTATTAAACATGTGTTATGTAGCATTGGGCTCATTCCTAAGAGCCTGAAACGGCCTGTACCCTCATAGTTTCTCGGCAACTTGAACAGTTGCAACAAAGGCACATTGCCTGCCGCCCCTCCGCACTGTTCGGATTCTCCTCTCCCTCCGCCACACCTCCGGCCTCCGCCATCTCATTGCTGCGGGACCCCTCGGGCCGGCCTCGATTGCCAGACCTGGCATCCTCTGCTCCGTGAGTGAGGATAGAATAGAAGATGCGCCTTTGCGCCGAAGGCAACATTTCGGCAACTGCAGGGCCCCTTGAAGAGCCCAGTTCCACAATTGTGTCTTGGCTCGAACCGCGTTCACATTGAATGCCACGGTTGAGCGCCAAATTTGCCACTGCGAGTCGGTTGGCCGCAGTGTCTTGCAATGTTTGCGGGAGCCTTCTGGGAGTGGTTTCATCTCCGCTGGGAGCTTCTCCGCCGCCGCATTCAATATCTTTGAGACTGACAAGATCCTCAGCTCCTGGATGTGCCGTGTTTGAGCTGGACTTCTGAATAGGAATTAACATACGCCTCTTCGTGCCGCTTCGTCTCAGCGGACGAGTTGCCGGAGGCCCGCCAGCTGCAGCAGGGGCTGCAGCCCCTCGCGGGCGCAGCAACTCCATTTTCTGCACAGTGTGGTGTGCAGTTTTAAAGGGGAAAATGTGATCTGGCACCCTCGGAAGCGCTGCTTCACGTTATCAAAACGCTCACAGTCAGCTGCCGGTTGACGGTCATTCTATGTCATTCTCGCCGCCTTTCCCCGTTCAAAAACAGAATTTTCTCAATGTGAAAAAAACACAGAAATATAGATGGAAGGCTAGGCTAATCGAGGCGCGAGCAGCACATCCTGGTCCGCTATAAGTCAGCCGCTACAATGTCTCGACGGCAAGTGGAGCGGGTCTGTACTCACGTATGCAAGCCTCAAGCAGTTTAAGTCTCGATCAGTTTCTCTGCACATATTCTCAAAAAGTAAAAGCAGGTCCGGTTGGAGAAGCTTCACACTTTTTCTTCCTACTCTTACCATAGTCGCCAGAAGCTACAGAGCCGGCTCCAGAGTCGGGCTCTGTTATGAGCTGCACGACGGAGCTGCCTTAAAGACCACCATGATAATATTCCGCCTCTTTTGTTTATGGCATGCATTCAGAAGACATTTTTAAATGCAGTTTTCAGTTGAGGAGGCTGCCTGATGACGGATAGGCACCGGTTTCACTCCTCAACAGCTAGCGGACTCTGCAGTCCATTTCAGTAAAGAGCGAAAAGTTCAGAGGCGATTGAAATTATCAAAAATAGAAAAAGGAAGACAGAAAGATAGAGCATTGAGGACTTCATGAAAATGCTGCACTTTGGTTGCCGTTTGGTTGCTTCGTAACTCACTAAGCTGGCACACTGTGCGGCGTTGTGGGGACGAATTCAGTTACTCCACTCATTCCTGCTAGCAAAACCATCTTCCTGGGGATTATAAGCCTTAAAATTTTTCTAATATGGCTTGGATTCCACCACAGGCCAATGAGGTTTCTAGTACGCCCCTTGATCCATCATACTCATCGCATGCACCAGTCAAATTTCAATGTATGAAATTCACGTTTGGTAGCGGTATTTGCCGATAATTTAAGCTACAGTGTGGTGCCTTTCTGAACATTGCATTTAGACAAGGTGTGGCTCTCAGCGAGCGGATTAGGGAGGCGTACGAGATCGGCAGATTTTGTCTAAAGCTTCATCACTGACATATGCATCGCCTGTAACATGCTGGGCAGGTTTATGCATTTTCTTTGATATACTAGACCGTGATGCACATTACCATGAAGTTGTCTTAGCCCATGTCGCTGTACAACGCAGAGCTGTGACGATATCTACTCTCAAAAAGTTGCATGTTGGACATTTACTGGCTCGTTAAAGTTCGCTCTATTCCCCCAAAAAAACTCATAGTAGTCTTTCCGCAAAATCCCAGAAGTTACAGTTAGGTCTCAGGATTTGGGGGGTTAAGATTAATGGTTCCCGGGCAACCGACCCGAAAACATCACACTTAAGCCACTTTTAAAGTATCACTGACTTCTTCGATAGAGGCACCTGCACACCCTCAACAGTTATAGAAATGCCAGGAACTTGTGTGAAAATAGAGTTGGGTGGCACCAAGTCATTAGAGCGTGCCCATCCCGGCGCATGTGCGCCCTCCCGCTAAAGTGCCTGGACTTTGGACCAGCACCTCATTGTCAGAGCCTATTTATTACAGTACAGACTCCCGCTAATAAGGATCCAAACCCAAGTCAGTGGCATTCCCCAACTGCGCCATCCGCAGAACTCTCGTTCATGATTCCAAAGGCAAATAAACCATTTCCCCAACAAGCTTGGTCTTCCCCAGATACCAAGAGCCCGATATTTTGCGAGCCTCACGCTGTTATAATAGGTGAGGAAAGTGAGCTATTTAGACGGGACTTTTGTGCCCGTTATTTCTTTTTTCATTTTGAATTCCCTTGACGGGTCTGCATCCAGTGCATGCAGTTGCGTGCAAGACTATTCCAATTTCTGTACGGGTGCGCTCTTTCTGCACCACGATCACGTGGTAGCCAACTGTAGAGGACTTAGAAGTCTTCGTTGCCTTCGGCAAGTGCTGCTATTAGCCGGGCATTCATGTATTCACAGCTGCCAGTGTAAAGTCTTTAATGGCGAGACACTGGAGCATTGAGCCAGAAGTCTGCGGGCCTCCTTGAGCAGCTCAGTGTTCACTTACGAAGCTAAAGTTTCACTACTGGCCTCCCTCTCACTTTTCCTGCTATTTATGTTATATTAGTTTTTGTATAGCCGCTCAGCAGGGTGGGCACTTTTGTTTTTTGGAGAAGAGGATTGCAGCCGCTACCCCTGTGTTAGGCGCTTGCTGGACGACTTCACCGCTACGGAGGACTTTCTGAGGAATTAATTGACAGCGAAGCTCTCCCTTCAGCAAATCTTTGGAGTCATTCGTGCATCTGTAAAAAGTGTGAAACTTGCAATATCCTGTTTCTATTTCTCTCAGTGCGGCGGATGGCCCAAACGTGCTGATGCTCAGTGGTCACCAGCTCCGAGCTGTTACTCCGGCAGACGAGCAGGAATGTAAACGCATACCTTTTTCATTTCTTTCGTCAGCTTGGCATGCAACACGAGAAGTTCCTCTTTTGCCGACTTATCGTCTTTTGAAGTGATTATTGGCTAGGACACTCTAACAGCAAAAGATAGCGAAACGGTCGGCTCCTTGCCCTTTATGTAGACACGCAGTTCGTGACCCAACTACTCGAGCAGTTCTGGAAATTGTGTGCCGAAAAGCATCTTCCGGAAAAAGTGGGAGTGATGAACAGCAGTGGTATGTGGCAGCAAAACCCTGACGCAGAATTTTACAAGTGTCTTTTTGTTTGCATCCTTTCACTAAGGTCTGTTCATAGCCACGGAACACTGGCGCACTGGCACTGGCCCACCGCTTCTCATAGACTGTCATTTCTTCTTGCCAAGATGTCTCTTTTGTGCCCAAACTTGTCCCGTATCACCTCCGCGACCCTCATTTGGCTCCTGAGAAACTTTTTGTTGGCTCACTTTTTATACTGTTTGCTACCACCAAACGGACGGACCTGCATGAAGTTATTTCTATCATTGAACAGCAAATTATGTGCGGCAGTGTTCACTCTTTGGTGAAATGATTGGGAGGCACTGAGGAAAATAGACCATCGCCTCAGGTGCATGCACTGCGTAGCGCCTCCATGCAAGTCAGTGCCTCCGTCAGTCGTACTTTCACCTAGTCAAGACCCCCCCCATCTATAACTACCGTTCTCATTTCTCTTACTGCGCCATAGCTGTCTCTGCTTGCAACTGCTGAGTCTACAGGGTGCAAACAGCCCAAAATCGCATACAGGATAGCATGCAAGCTGTGCCCACCGCATGCAAATGGAGAGTTCCTCCCAGTGCCTCCTCCATCCGAAAATGAAAAGCAAAAAAAACAAAACAAAATGCATGCGCGGGTAACCAATACCATATTTTGAGCGAACTAAATGGAGAGGCGCGCTTTGAGCCCTCGTTTCGGAATTCATCGCGAGGCCAGCACTGGCGTACAGCTCCCACAGTAAATAAACTTTGTGAACAGGTGTTCTTCTAAATCTTAACGATAAAAGTGAGTATATGTGTGTAGTGCCTCTCCATTTTTGACTACTGACAGCCAGAGTTTGTCGCTGCTGTTGCAGTCGGGAGCCGTGCATGGGTTGCTGTTGCAGCAAGTGCTTAGACATTCCTCTGAGTGAACCAGCGCTGGTTCAGCTAATGGCAATTCCTCTTTTTGTAACATAAATGTTTTCTCGAACATCCTAAACCGCATTTCCGGGACAATAATTTGTATTTGGAATTCAATGAAATGGTTCAGCCTCTAGTTCTTATTTTGAGCAACAGAACGAATGCCTGCGCCACTTTCCCTCCACATGAGGGCCTGGTGGCTCCAACATAGCAAATTGCCCAATAAAGCCAAATAAGGTTGTGGTTTGTCTCGAAAATAATCTAACTTTGCATCTAGCAATTAACTTTTTGTTTCATGACTTGATGGTCTACAGAGCTGAAGAAGACATAGGAGTGTACTTAAGCGTGTGAGGGCCTACGGCTCTGCTCGTCCCCCACTTCATACCTAAAGAAAGCCAACTTTGGACTACCAAAAAGACTGATAGAAGAGCTCAAAGCTCAGTTGCATCTTCTGCCACTCTTGTTGTCTTAGCAGCATTTTCGAGAAGTGCAGAAGTTTGGAAATCTCCGTCAGCAGCAGCCCAAACCTGCAGAACAGCAGCAATGCTTGTAAAACTTCTTATTCATATGTGAACAGCTCGCAGGCCCCGCGCATAAGACTTTGGCAATTTAGAAAGGGATGCGCGGAAAGCCCAAGGGGGCATCTTCAGGTAGAAAGCTTTACTGAGGCTTGGCAATTCCTTTTGCATTTCCTTTTGATGTTTTATTTCTTCCACTGCAGCGACATGGGCCACAGCCCCCAGAGCCTCTGGCTGGGGCCCCTCTGCCTCTGCTGCCTGCAGCCTCGCTAGTTCTGAATGCCATGGGAAAGGGGGCCCCCGAGGGCCTCTTAGTGCAGCCTAAGGGCAGCGCCTAGCGCTGTAAACTACAAGGACTCTGCTGCTGCTGCTGCACTAGTTATCTCCCAGTGAAATGCTGCTGTTGTTGGCCACCAGAACACGCACGTGCAACAAGTCTACTTTGCAGTCTGGAGTCTGAGGCCACGGGGCATGCAAAGCCACGAAACCCAGGTCGACTTTATCACACTTCAACTTAAAAGTGAACTAGAAGTTTAATTTTCGATGATTCGCCGATGCTGAGGCTGGATTCTTTAGAGGGAGCGTTGCCGCTTGTGTATGTATCCTTGAGCGGCGCCTGAAGTTTGACCGCCCTCGTTGTTTGCTGCGAGGGACTTTGCTGCTAAGAGATCGACTTGACGATAAGTTGCTGCTGCAGAAAAGCAAGAAAGCAAGTTTTGAACGGTGGCGTGGGCAGTTGCTAGAGGTCTTCGACTGCTGCTGCTGCTGCGGCAGCGGCGAGGCTGCGGCAGTGCTCCCGCTGCGCTGCGTTGTGCGATCGGTGGAGAAAACGCCGATTTAATTTCGAGATATCGTTTAAATAGATGTTTAATTGCTGCAAAATGACGAATTAATTTTGCCAGACTAGCCGAAGGCTGTGTCTGAGCTGCTGCACGACCGCCGGCTCACCACTACCCCACGGCGACTGGCGGCTTTCCGCCTTCTGCAGCAGCTGCTGCTCAGCGCGTTCCAACTGTTTCTTTGTCTTCAGTTAATTACGCAAAACTTATTTTTGTCCTTTTATCGCAGCTAGGCCCAATGACGCGCTGCCCGTTGCTCCTCCTCCTCGCCTTTGCGCTCTGTCTTTCCTCCGCTGCCGCCGGGCGCGCGGAAGCAGCAGCAGCTGCAGCAGCAGCAGCAGCAGCAGCAGCAGACGCTGGAGAAGACCCCCCAGCCCCTGTCGCAGATGCAGGGGCGGCGGAGCCCGCCGGCGCTGACGCTGCGGTGCCGCTTCCTCCCGAGGCCGAGCCGGCGCAGCTCCCCCAGCAGCAGCAGCAGCAGCAGCAGCAGGCGGAGCTGGAGGAGGCCTACGTGGCGCTGCCGCTGCGAAAAGCCCTCAAAACCCGCGAGTTTTGGCTGCAGCGAGCTGCTGAGCTGCTGGTGATGGCCCTGACCACTTACGCAGTCTTTTGGGCCTACGGGAAGCTGGGGTGTCCGTTTAGGCGGTGGCCGCTGCGGCTGCTGGTGGAGCAGCAGCAGCGGGAAGCAGCGCCGAAGCGGCGGCAGCAGAAGCCGCCGCCGCAGCCGCAGCAGCGGCAGCAGCAGCGCGAACAGCCGCAGCAGCGGCAGCAGCAGCGTGAACAGCCGCAGCAGCGGCTGCGGCAGCAGCAGCAGCAGCTGCTGCACGAAATGGGGCTGCAAGACATCCCCCTTGACAGATGAAGCCCCTGCGGCTCGGGCCTCGCGCAAGAGACCAGCAGCATTTCAAGCTGGCTGCGGGCCCGCTGCAGCAGCTGCTGCTGCACTCGCAGCAGCAGCAGTACCTGCCGCAGCAACAGCAGCAGCTGCTGCGGCCCCCACAATTGCGCAGCAGTAACAGCAGCAGCAGCCGCTGCTGCAGCAGCAACGGCTGCAGCAACATCACAAACACTGGCTTCCGCAATAACGGCTGCGCCAGTGGCACCACAAGCTGCTGCAGCAAAGCTGCTGCAGCAACAGCAGGCGCAGGAGCAGCAGCAACAGCCGCTACAGGATAGCAGCAGCCAAAGTAGCAGCGGCAGCAGCAGCAGCAGCAGATTGAAGCAGGTTTATTTGATTCGTGAACTCTGCAGCAGGCAAGAGCGCCCCTCTGCAGAAACCCTAGCTGCCGCCCGAGAGCGCAGCAGCAGCTAGGGTTTAGGGTTTAGGGTTTAGGGTTTTGAAGGCGCGTCTTGTCTTTCGACAGCGCCCCCGTTTCTGGAGTTTAAAAGATCAGAGGAAGACCCAAAAGGCAATTTCTTTCTTCCCCCTGGGCCTCAAGTTAGGGTTTAGGGTTTAGGGTTTAGGGTTTGAGGCCTAGGGTTTGGCTCCAGCAGCACTTTGCTGCACCTCGCGGCCAACACCGTAGCTCATGACAAGTAGGAAGGCTTCTGCAACACAGCAGCAGCAGCAGCAGCAGCAGCAGCAGCAGCAACATAGCAGCAGACCCAGCATTAGATGCAGCTGCTGCAGCAGGTGCAGCAGCAGCACTTAGGGCAGCAAGCGCAGCAAGCACAGCACAGAGGGCAGTATGCGCAGCAGCAACAGCACAGAGGGCAGTAGGCGCAGCAGCAGCAAAAGCAGCAGCAGCAGCAGCAGCAGCAGCAGCAGCAGCAGGTCAAACCCTCACCAGGGCCTCGGGCCTTTTATCTTTTTTGATATTTTTTTGTCTGCTTCTCGTTTTAGTTCTTCTTTTCCCTTTTTCATTTCCTTCTTTAAACATGTGCCGAATTATTATGCGGCGCCCCCCCTTCGTCACGCCTCGGAGCTTCTGCTGCTGCTTCTGCTGCTGCTGCTGCTGCTGCTGCTGCTGCTGCTGCTCAGGAGCAGCAGCACTGTCTGCCCACCCCTGACCCATTGTGTGCTCGTCTTCCCACACACCTTCAGCACTGTCGTCGTCACCTTGCTGCTGCTGCTGCTGCTGCTGCTGCCGTGTGCCGCGCCTGCGCCGCTTGCGCTTCTGTTGCTGCTGCTGCTGCTGCTGTTGCTGCTGCTGCTGCTGCTGCTGCATGCATTCTCCCAAGCTGTTTTGCTGATCCTTGATTTCCTCCGTTTCGTCAGCCGGTCCTTCTCCTTTTGCGTTGTTTTCTTCTCTAGACGTGTCTTTATCTTTTTGCTTCTCCTTTCTTTTGCTGCTGCTGCTGTTGCTGCTGCTGTTGCTGCTGCTGCTGCTGCTGCTGTCTGGAGGCGTGTCCGCTGCTTCCGGGTGTATCGACGGCTCATCTTCTGCTTGCGTTTGAGCGCTCTGTGAGTCTCTTTTCCTTTTCTTCTTTTTCTTCTTTGCTGCAGCTGCTGCTGCCGAGAGGCAAGGCTGCTGCTCACGAGAGCGGTGCGAGTGAAGCTGCTGTCGTCCTCGGAATTCGCAGCCTCTGCTTCTTGCTGCTGCTGCTGCTGCTGCAGGAGCTTCAGGTGGCGTTCCCGGTTCTTCTGCTGCTGCGTGAGTCGCTTCTGCTGCTGCTGGAGAGTTGCTGCTGCGGCGGACGTCGCTGCAGCAGCAGCAGCCGCAGCAGCAGCGGCGCCAGCACCCTGTCTGTGTTTTCGCCGCGCTCCCTGGGCCTGGGACTGCTGCAGCTCTTGCTGCTGCTGCTGAGGGCGAGGCGCCCGCTGCTGCTGCTGCTGCTGCGGGTCTGCTGCATCCAGGAAGGGAAAGGCAACGTTGCCATCGGCAAAGTTGAATTGAACATCTGCTGCCATCTTCAACTATCAACTTCAACCCTAAACCCTAAATTGGGGTTTTTAGCCTAGAGCATTTCGGTTTCAGCTCGAGGCGAGGAGTTTTGCATCGATTAAGAAAGCTGAGGGGCCCCCCTCTGCGTTGGACCGAGTCGGGAAACGCTGCGGGGCTAGAATAGGAAAAAGCGGAGAAAAAAAGGAAAAAACAATTTGAAATATTTGTTCAAAAGCACTGAGACCTTTAACAAAGACAATTTTTTAAATGTCGAATTACCTGCAGTTTCACCCGGCGCGCAGCCACCCGCGGAGTGCACGTACAGCCCAAGCTGCTGTTCATGTGCACACGTGACGAAAGCACAATTCATTTGTTTTTATTCTTCATTTCGAGATCTTTCACTTCGAATTATCTTTATTTGGAGTTTCTTTTCGATTTTTGCGTCGCCAAGATGCCCGTCAAGCACATTAAAGGCATTGAGGGTCCGTTCAGCACCACACAGACCGAATTCAGGTTTCGCCGTTTTTCCATTTCTGCAGAATCTACTCGCCTCTGTCTTCAATTTATATCTCTTTAAACTCCATTTTTTAATTTTAATCTTCTACTTCTTCTGGAAATCGCCTGTCGCTTCGCCAGGGGGTGTGGCGCCAGAAGTTGAATAGCCTTTGGCCTCCTTCTTGAACTGCAGCTCTGCCCCAGCAGCACTTGAGTTCAGAAGACGCGAAAGATGCAAACTAATCTGCTGCTGCTGCTGCTGCAGCAGCAGCAGCAGCAGCAGATTAGTTTTCATCTTTTGCGTCTCCTCGACTCTGTCTTGCTGGTGTCAGTTGCTTCAGCTGGCTCTGCTGCTTCCGTCAAGCTTCTCAGCGCGGGGTGTCTGTACACCTGAGAGTGCTCATTTTTAATTCTGTTCTTTTCTGTCCACCGTCAGAACTGTTTAATTAGTTTATTTCGGCAGCGAACACCAGTTGGCAGCAACAGGTCTTTGAAAAGGAGTTAAAAATGAATTAAAAATGAATTAAAATGAATTTAAATTCTGTTTTGTAGCAGCAAAATGCACTTTTTGTCTTCAACTCAGCAGCAGCAAATAAGTTTGAATTGATTTGCTGCAGAGTTCGACGAGGCGATCAAAAACGGCCTCGCCATCGTCGACTTCTTCGCCACCTGGTGTGGTGAGTCCCTGCTGCTGCTGCTGCCTGTGCTGCTGCTGCTGCTGCCTGTGCTGCTGCTGCTGCCGCCTGTGCTGCTGCTGCCTGTGCTGCTGCTGCTGCTACCTGTGCTGCTGCTGCTGCTACCTGTGCTACTGCTGCGGCTACCTGTGCTGCTCTGCTACTGCCTGTGCTGCTGCTGCTCCCTGTGCTGCTGCTGCTCCCTGTGCTGCTGTTAGTGCCTGCGCTGCTGCTGCCTGCGCTACTGTTAGTGCCATTGCTGCTGCTGCTGCTGCTGCTGCTGCTGCTGCTGCTGCTAAGTATTGCCCCAGTATTGGGTCGCGTTTGTGCTTAGGGCCCTGCAAAATGATTAGGCCATTCCTCGAGGAGAAAAGCAACACCATGACCCACATCAACTTCTACGCGGTAGGCACTTTCCCCAGCAGCAGCAGCAGCTGCTGCAGCAGCAGCAGCAGCTGCTGCAGCAGCAGCAGCAGCTGCTGCTGCTGTTTGTTTGCGTAGCTCCGAGTGTGTTGCGGCTAGCTGCGAGCGAGGCAGTCGCCGCAAGAAATGCGCCCCCTTCTGCAGCGCGGCCGCAGGCGCTGCTGCCGCTACTGCTGCCGCTGCTGCCGCTGCTGCTGCTGCTGCCGCTGCTGCTGCTGCTGCTGCCGCTGCTGCTGCTGCTGCTGCTGCAGCAGCAAAGGTGAGTGGGGGGTGCGTTCAGGTGGACGTGGACGAGAACCCGGAACTCTGCGAGCGCGAGAAGGTGCAGGCAATGCCGACCTTCAAGTTGTACAAAGACGGAAAAGTGGTGGAGACAATTGTGGGAGTTTTGAAGCCGAAGTTGGAGGAGGCGCTGAACAACTTGAAGTGACGGGGTGTACGTACACCCGCGCAGCTGGGGTGTACGTACACCCCGGCGGCGGCCCCGAAGCGCAGCGGCATTTGGCTGCTGCGGCCCGCGGCGCCGGGGTGTACGTACACCGCGGCGCCCGGGGAGAGCCGCGCAACTACAGACTGCGCGCCACAAAACAATTAAAGTCATTTAACTCAAAAGAATCCGAATTTGCGAAACAAAGACAGAACGCGACACAATTAAAGTTCTTCTAATTCAAAATAATTCAAATTTGAGAAACAAAGGCAGCACCCGACCTGCCGAGCTGCAGCTGCGGTGTACGTACACCTGAGGCCGCGCGCGCATGCAGCCGCGAACGCGAGGCGCCGCTGCAGCGCCAAACCCTAAACCCTATGACGCAAACCCTAAACCCTAGAACGCAAACCCTAAACCCTACTAGAACCCAAACCCTAAACCCTAGAACGCAAACCCTAAACCCTACTAGAACCCAAACCCTAAATCCTAGAACGCAAACCCTAAACCCTACTAGAACCCAAACCCTAAATCCTAGAACGCAAACCCTAAACCCTAGAACGCAAACCCTAAACCCTTGAACGCAAACCCTAAACCCTTGAACGCAAACCCTAGATTCAGTTTGCTGCTGCTTGCGGTGTACGTACACTGCGCCCGCAAAACTAAAAAAGGAAAACGAGCAGCTGCTGTCTTCCGCTGCGCTGAGGTGTACGTACACCCCAAGCCAACACACGCCGGGTGTATGTACACCGCAGACTCTCCACCACACACCTGCTGCAACTGCTGCTGCTGCTGCAGCAACTCGAGCTACTGCCGCTGCTGCAGCAGCAAGTGCAACTGCTGCTGCCTCGATGGCAGCACCTGCTGCTGCTGCCGCTTCGTCTGCTGCTGCTGAAGGTGCAGCAGCAGCAGCAGCAAAAAGCCAATATTTGCTTCTCTTCCTTGAATCTGTCCCTGCCTCGTATTTTTCTTTTCTTCTTTTCTCCTTTTTTCTTTTCTTAATCCTTTTATCAATTTAATCTCCTGAATTCCTTCTCTTCACTGGTCCGGAAGCTTCTTCTCATAAACTGCAGCAGCAGCAGCAGCAGCAGCAGCAGCAGCAAAGCAGGGCGGGTAAATCCAGCAGGCACTTCGCCCCGGAGATGAAGCAGCAGGAATGCATGCGCGAGCCTCCAAATGTCCATTTAAATAAAACAAAAATAAATAAATTAATTAATTAAAATAAATAAATAAATAAATAATAATTAAAGCATCCATAAAGAAGCAGCGTGGAGTCGAGCAGCGCAGCTACCAGCCTCTCGAGCAAAACTTGCAGCAGCAGCAGCAGCAGCAGCAAAACTTGTAGCAGCAGCAGCAGCAAAACTTGCAGCAGCAGCAGCAAGTCAAATGATGAGAAAAGCAAAATGGAACAAATCAAAAAACAAACAAAATCCAGCAAAGAAATATAAACCCTCAAAAGGCTTAGAACGACGGCAAGAAAGCCAAACAAATTGCTGCTGCTGCTGCTGCTGCTTCTGCTGTTGCTGCTGCTGCTGCTGCTGCTTACTGTTGTAAGCCAAAAGCTTATCTATAAGATCTGCATGCGTCAAAATCATGCGGCGGCAGCAGTAGCGTTTTAGGCCCAAGTCGTCGAGGGCCACTCTGTGGCAGCAGAGAAAGAAGCAAAATAAAATAAATTAAATTAAATTAATTAAATTAAATTAAATTAAATTATATCAATTAGAATTATGAATAATAAAGGGGTTTTGAGGTCCATTTCGGGGGTATATGGAGCCAGATAGAGGCGAAAGGCTGTAAACCCTAAACCCTAAACCCTAAATCCTAAACCCTAAACTGGCGCGCGCCACTTTGAAAGTCCTAAAACCCTAAACCCTAACGAAGACCCGCCATACAACCTCCCTAAACCCTCGCTGCACAGCCTCTGAGCTGTGCTGTGGCGCAGGCAAGTCCTAGGGTTTAGGGTTTAGGGTTTAGAGTTGGGTCTGAGGGTTTAGGAAGTGCAAACTGGAGTGTGGAGTTCCATCTAGCGCCAGCCCCGAAAGTCCCTCTGCGAGCAGCCAGGGGCTGCAGTCTAGGGCTTGAGAATTAGGGTTTAGGGTTTAGGGTTTAGGGTTTAGGGTTACCCTTCGTCGACGTCGTTTTGCAGCTTCTCGACGTACTGCTCCCACAAGTGCCCAATGACGCGGCCGCAGGTGAAGCAGCGGACGGGGATAATCATATTGGAGGGAAAAGAATAAAAAGAAAATAAAATAAATAAAAAAGAATTGAAGAAAGAAGCTACGGGAGGGCCAGCCTGGGCCTTCCAGCAAGGGTTTAGGGTTTAGGGTTTCGCGGTAGGGTTTGGGGATTCGGGCGAGGGTTTTGGGCGCGGGTCGCTCCTCGGTGTCAGGGTTTGGCGCCTAGGGTTTAGGGTTTAGGGTTTGAAGCGTCGATTGTGGGCCCCCAGGAGCACGAGAGAGCGCAGAAAGGAGGCAGAAAGAAACAAAAACAGAAAAAAGGAATTTAAAACGAAAAAGAAAAGAAATGAAGGAGAGAAAACGGCAAAATGCCGGCAAGAAGCGCGGCGCTGCAGCTCCGGAAACACCGCGCAGCGTGCAGGCTTCGCCGCTCCAACTCCTCCTTTTTCCCCTTTTTTTCGGAAATAATAAAGAATTAGCAAAACTGTGGAAGAAAAAGAAGAAAAGAGAAAGTGTAATTGGTGGAAAAGCCAGTGGCGGCTGGAAAGAGCAGCTGCGCGGCGCGGAACGCCAGCGCAGCTGGGGGGGTGTTAGCAGGTGGAAAGCGGCAGTTAATTCGCCGATTCGCGAGTGTTTCGGAAGCGAAAGACAATTAAAAGTCCTCTAGCGCAAGCGCGGATTTGTAAAAGATTTGAAAGTGGAGTTTCGCGGTGGCGGCTGGGGCCGCAGCCCCGAAGCAGCGCTGCGGTGTATGTACACTGGGCTGTGGGCTGCTGCTGCGGCTGCTGCGGCGGCCGCCGCTGCCGCTGCTCCCCACAGGATTAGCGACTGCTGGTGCGTCAGTTTGTGTTTTTGGAGTTTGCGAGGGTGCAATGCAACAAAAAGTGCAAATAAGTGTCCGTTTAGCTTCTTGAATCGCGCAATTTGGCCCCCGTTTCCCGAAAATGGAAATGGATCTGCTGCACCCCGACCCCCTCGAGGAGGCCAAGAAACACAAACTCAAACGCCTCATTCCAAACCCCAAGTCCTTCTTCATGGACGTCAAGTGCCCTGGCTGTTACAGCATCGCCACTGTCTTCTCCCACGCCCAGACCGTCGTCCTCTGCGGCAGGTCAAACCCCAACCCTAAACCCCAAACCCTAAACCCTAAACCCTAAACCCTAGGCCCTCCGCTGGCGACGCCCGCTCGCCCGCAGCCGCTCTGCCACGCCGCGCCCACGAAGCAGCTTCGGGCGCGACTTCGGGACTGCCGGCTCTTTGCTGCTGCTGCTGCTGCTGCTGCTGCTGCTGCTGCTGCTGCTGTGGGCAGTGTGGCTGTGTTTTTCCTTCTTCTCTTCTGCCTCTCGAGGAGAAGTGCTGCAGCTCTTGTTTTGCTGCTGGTCTTTATTAATTATTATTTTTATTTTCATTTTTTATTTTCTTATTTTGTTTTCTTCTTATTTGCCGCCAAAGTGCCTTGCCATCCTTTTATTACTTGCTTTTAATCGCTGCAGTGCTTGCTTTCCATCCTGCTGCTGCTTCTGCTGCCTCTGCTGCTGCTGCTGCTGCTGGGGAGGGCTGGTGCAGCAAGCCGTTCTTCTTGATTATGTTTGGAGCCAAAAGGCATTTAATCTAGTTGAAAATAAATGAATAAATATATTTAATTACATTTTATTTATTTGTTTATTCATTTATTTATTTATTTATTTATTTATTTATTTATTTGTTTATTTATTTATTTGTTTTTGTCTTTGCAGCTGCAACGTGATGCTGTGCCAGCCCACTGGCGGGAAGTGCAAACTTACTGAAGGGTGCTCATTTAGAAAGAAGGTAGAGTAAATAAGGTGCAGCAGCAGCAGCTGCTGCTGCTGCTGCAGCAGCAGCAGCGGCAGTAGCAGCAGCGCGAGCTGCTGCGGCAGCAGCGCCACGCGCTGCTGCTTTTGTTTGCTTGCGGGGCGCCAGCCGTTATCTATCAAACTAAACCCTAAAACATTTTCTTTACAGCTCTTTGCCGAAACCCTAAACCCTAGTTGCTGCTGCCCAAAACCCTAGTTTGCTGCTGCTGCTGCTGCAGCCCCCAAGCTGTGGCTGCTGCCGCTGCTGCAGCTCCCAAACCGTAGTTGCTGCTGCTGCTGCAGCTCCCAAACCGTAGTTGCTGCTGCTGCTGCTGAAAGCGCAGCAGTAGTTTGCTGCTGCTGCGCGCAGCCAGCCAGCAGCAGCAGAGTGCTAGGGTTTAGGGTTTAGGGTTTGGAGGGTTTGCTGCTGCGGGCTAGAGATATTAGGGACTTTTGCCGCTGCTGCTTCCAGAACTTCAAAAAGTGGAAAGCAGAGCGAAATTGGAATTGGAGCCGCTGGGGTGTCTGTACACCCGACAAGAGAGAAGACAAAGTAAACGAAAGTTAATAAATGGATAAATAAATAAATTATTAATCTGAATATAAAACTGTTTTCAATCCCGGGGATCTGTTTAATTAATTAATTTGGTTTTCATCAAATTAAATAAAAGTTGTAATTAAATCTCCAAATAAATCTCCAAATAGGATTTAATTTTGATTTAAATAGACGCATAAGATGAGCCAAAGTTCGACTTTTTGAACTTCATTTTTTTCTGAATTTATTTTTTTCTTTTTTGCAGTTTTTCATTTCCCCTGCTGCTAGGTGTACGTACACCTCAGCTCACGCGCGCTGCAAACGGGAAGGCCGCGGATGTTTTAGCCGGACGAGGGTTTAGGGTTTAGGGTTTAGGGTTTAGGGTTTACGTTTTAGGAGGCAGGAAGCAGAACAAGCAAGCGGTGCTGCTGGAATAGGGTGTAAGGCTAGGGGTTTAGGGTTTAGTGTTTAGGGTTTGGGCTTATTATTCTCAGAAGCAGCAGTTCACGCCAGAAGTGGAAAGAGGGTTTAGAGGTTAGGGTTTAGGGTTTAGAGTTTTATTCTCTGCAGCAGCAGTTCACGCCGGAAGTGGAAAGAGGGTTTAGGGTTTAGGGTTTAGGGTTTAGGGTTCAGGGCCGCGCCGGCATGGGGTCTCAACCTCGCTTAAGCTGCCCCCTAAGTGGGGCGAATGAGCGGATTAATTGAATTGAATTTACAAAATAAAATAAAATAAAATAAAATAAATAAATTGAATTAATTAAATTGAATAAAAGAATTAAATTCCGGAACTTGTGCTGAACTACAGGACGGCCTGCGGAGCGTAAACAGCTCCGAGCTGGCTGCAGCGCCGGGGTGGCAGGGCTGCCTGTTTTGGTTTCTCGGAAGTTTTTAATTGAATAAATGAATTATTAATGATTGAATTTGTTGGAAACAAGAGTGAGCTCAGTGTCGATACAGCTGAGAAAAAGCAGCAGCGGACGCATGCGCCTGCCTGCAGCCGCGGGATGAGTTGAATCTGTACGTGCATGAATCCGCGGCGCAAAGGCTGGATCTTTCGGGTAAATTCCGCATTCTGGGCTCAAAATAAGGAGAAAAATGGAATTTAAAGTGAATTTTGAATCCAGAAGACTATTTAAAAGGCTCGAAAGCCGGCGTTTTCCCCGCGGCGTCGCCCGGGGGCTCAGCCGCCGAGCGGAGGCAGCGGCGGCGACAGTCGAATTGAGAAACAATTGGCGGCGCGCAGCAATTTCGACATTGTGACTTTGAATTTAACAGAAAAATTAAAAAGAATTTTCAATTAATTCGCAAATTCCGCCGCTTTTCAGTGTTGATCCGCGAGAGTCGGCGCCGCCGTGCGCTTTCTGTCGCCAGCTGCACGTACAGCTGGAACTGCCGCGGAATTCGCAACTTTTCTTTCTTCTTTTCTTTTCAATCTGAATTTAAATTTGTAATTTAGCTTGCAGCTGCGTTATTTTATTCTTTTTCCCCCTTTTCACCCGCAGACACGAGAATTGCTCGCCCGCATCTGCCGAAGAGCGGCCTTTGCGTTTTGCAATTTCTTCACTTTTATTTTTTTTTTGTCACTACCGCAGCAGCAACTCTTGGTAGCTCGAGCCCAGCAGAAATTTTTTTGACAGCAGCTGCAGCAGCAGCAGCAGCAGCAGCAGCAGCAGCCCCGCCGTTTCTTTTTTTTTTTCTTCTCCAGCGCCAGAGCCGCTTCAACAAGTTGCTGCCGATTTGCTGCTCGCGGGTTTTTCAATTGCGCGGCTGCCGCTGAAGCAGCAAAAGACAATATGGAGAGGGGGGTCTTCCGCTGCCGCAGCAGCAGCAGCAGCAGCAGCAGCAGCAGCAGCAGCAGCAGCAGCAGCAGCAGCAGCGGGACTTTCCTGAATGTGCCCCTAGAGCCCTTCTTTCGCATGCATGCGCAGGCAGGGCTTGGGGCTTCTCCCTTCAGTGAGCGCTGCTGCCGCTGTTTGGGCTTTGATTCATTTTCGCAGCAGCAGCGCAGCAGCAGGAGGGAGGGCTGGCTGCAGCA